TATCAGGAGTTAATAATAACAAATTTGTCATTATTAACCCCTGATACATATATAAAGAGAGAGGGGGAGAGAAAGAGAGAGGGGGAGGAATGTAGGAGAGCCAGGGAGGGAAGGAGGGAGAGAGGGAGGGAGGAAGGGAGGGAGGGAGGGAGGAAGAGAGAGAGAGAGGGAGAGAAAGAGAGAAGGGGGATAAGCGTTTCAATAAAATATAATGCTAAATAAATACGAAAAAGTCTTAATGTTTCTATACTCCCTTTCACCTGTTATTGCCGACAATTTCCTGAAAATGCCGTCCAAATGCTCATCTGCAACAAACGCTGGCTGCTGCCATGGCTGCCGCTGCACACTGACACATAAAAATATAGTAATAGACTAAAAAAATAAAAAATAAAAAATGACAAAAACAACAACTATATATTTATGTGTCAGTGTGCAGCGGCAGCCATGGCGGCAGCCAGCGTTTGTTGCAGATGAGCATTTGGACGGCATTTGCAGGAAATTGTCGGCAATAATAGGTGAAAGAAAGTACAGAAACATTTTACAAAATAGATTTCGCATTTATTTAGCATTATATTTTATTGAAACGCTCCAAGTGCCTGTGGGATGGACAGTCGCAAGTCTCGGAAGCAAGAGGAAGCAAGGATTCGTAGCCCCTCGGCCTAGCTAGTACATAAATAGCGCGTTCGCTCCCTCGCTCACTCACTCTCTCCTCCCCTCCCCTCCCCTCTCTCTCGGCAAACAGCAAGACTACGCGCATGTGGGGCAGGCCAATTAGCTGTCAGGAAAAATCGATATATACACAGCGAGATGACATTGAATTGAAGGGCACTGCGGTTTCTGGATCGGACTGCATATGCGAGATGGGGGAGGTACCGTGGGTAGCAGCCGTACCCTCAGCGCGCAGGCAGTGTCATGTGCAAGCCCCACTGAATGCTATCAGATAACGGGAGCGGAGCGCTGTGGTGACGTGTATTGACCGTTGATGTATTAGACGGTGGTGATGTTACGGCGAGGTCACGATAGAGAGTAATGCTATACTGAATACGGAGGCTAATACATGGTAACATTACGGCATGCATTTTAGTGTTTGGCACCTTATTCGCTCGATAAGGGCAAAGGTAGGCGCATGGCAACTAAAAGGTTTCCGTGGAACACCGTGTAGTACGACAAAACACTTGAGATGTGATGACGATATCCACCAGATAACCGGTCTGACGCCCTAACAAAACCATTACAGTGTTATTCGCCTTTTAGGCTACGACCACTCTTGTACTAGTAGTTCACTGCTGGGCAGCACCACAGCGCCTGTACGATGATGCCACAGGCGCATTGCATTGCACCTCGACCAGATAACTTATCTTGCTTGAACAAGAGAAAATAATTCTACGAGGCATGCTGAATACTACAGCAGTTATTACAAGCCTATTCATTACAAAATTCATAATGTGTTGTGAACACGTGTTATCGACGTTATCTGTACGCAATTAACGATTAAATACGTATACTGTATCGTCTTTTCGCGCTAACGTGTATTTCGCATTTGCACGGGGCCTACTGTTATCGTTTTGTAAATCAATTTCGCGAAAGCGCTTTTATACATATCAAAGTTTGCCGCTAATTTCTGTCAGTTATTCAGCAGTATAACTGGTTATTTGAGTTACTAGTATATATTTGTTGGTTATGTGTTTGGCTATTTCTGGCTATATATATACATTCTGGCGCTAATAAAAAACATTTGTATTTTACTCACTATAAAATGATTTAACGCGTTATAGTTCTTTCTAGTTATCGTGAGGACTTCACGATAACTGAGCAATGCAACCCTGATCAAAATCAGTATAACTAGCCTACTCTAGACTATAAGTAAATCAAGCCATTTTGTCTTGCATACGGCCATTACTTCCAAACTATTGTTCGCGCAATCACCGTGGAAAGTGTCGCGAGAGTTTGTTTACATAAAACAGGACACACAAACACGCGCGCGTACGCACGCACGCACGCGCGCGCACGCACACACACACACAACACACACACACACACATCACACACACACACACACACACATCACACAACACAGCGCACACACACAGCAAACACTACACAACACACTACACACACACCCACACACACACACACACACCACAGCTACCACACAACACACCACACATCACACACACACACACACACAACACACACACACACACGAAACAAACATCAGCACACACACAGTCAACACACGACACACACACGCCACACAGTCAGACACCACACACAGGCCACACACACACACACACACAGCCGCTACACCGGCACACACACACACACACACACAGCACACAAACACACACACAGTCATCAGAGCACACGTGTGTATAAGAGCTGGCTCGCTGCTGGCTACACACACACACGAACACACACACGAACGCATCACACGAGAGGGATCACATTACCTCCCTGCAACTCCGTTGCGCGGAGGTAACTAATGTAATCATAAATTGTGAACATAATGAGGCACAATTGTATTTTCACGATTTCAATTTCAATCACAAATTTTCGTTTCTTATCTTGCTTCTAGACTCTAGAGCTACTAGATTCACGTTGATAGCTGTATTTTGCCTTCTCGCTATCAGGCATGGCGGGGTCAGGGCGAGTCAACACAGCTGCTGCTGCTGGTGGTGATTAGCGCTCAGCATCTCACTCAAGCGCATGCGCGAGCCTGTGTTCATTGACCTTGGCCGGATAATGGAGCGAACAACAGCAGCCAGACCGGCCGTACACGCCTCCACCCCCACCCACCACGCATTTCTCCCTATAGACGAACACCACGTCCGTGCGTTGGGCAAAACGCGTGCGCTGCAGCGCGTGGGGTCTCTCTACGGGAGACTAGGAGCTGCTGGATGTGGGACGTGGATGTTGCCTGCTCGAGGCCAAGGTCAACGCTACCAGGATGTGTTTATTTGTGGCAGTTCACGAGCGGAGAGAGAATAGAACCCGGTTCCTCTCTATGTGTGCGTGTTTGCATGCGCGTGCGTGCGTGCGGGTGCGTGTGCTGGGTACGCTCAGCCGAGAGCGGCGTGTGTGCAAGTGCTGTGACGTAAGTGCAAGAGCCGTGATTAGTCGCTATTTAGCATGTACTCAAGGTCATGGGCTTAGGGTCATTGACGCTGAAGGGGACGTTGTCGTATCAGGTACTACAGATATGTACCCGAGGTACATATAATATGTATACACAAAGTGTACCAGACTTGTACTACAGAAGTGTACCCTTACCCAAACCCTAACCCTAGCCCTAACCCTAACACTAACCCTAAACATACCTCATATAAAAATATAAACATAATACTAAACAACGTAAAACTACCTCGGGTACATATCTGTAGTACCTGATACGACAACGACCCTATCTGCGTCATTGACAGGTAGGCTCAGCATCCGTGCGATATCTGCACTCAAGCACACTTACGTACGTGCATGCTGACGTCAGACGAAAAAAAACGCGCAGAAGCAAAGCTGAGAAGTAGGGTCGGAAGTACAGAAATAGAGGGGGAATGAAGGGAGAGAAAGGACGAGAGAGAGACAGATAGAGAGAGAGAGGAGGAAGAAAGATAGAGAAAGAGAGAGAGAGAGAGAGGGGGAAAGAGATAGCGCGGGGAAGGGGGGGGGGTGTTTAACAACAACCGGTTGAAACTCGGTCGTTTCCGTTGTCACGGCGCACACAGAACAGCTCGCGGCACAGCGCCAGCAACTTTCAGAAACGATGCAACAACGGCGCCTGCTAATCATATATAAATAATATATAATATAATATATGCTATTAAATATGCCTAGAATGCGAAACCAGCTGGCCGAGCTGGGTCGATAAACCCGTGTACAACGCTTACTCGTCAACGCGTCAAGTTAACACTACTGGGAACTCGTTGTCCAAAACAAAACTAGTCAACATTATTATTAACCTTTTCTCGTTGACCGGACCTCTAAACACTGCGTATGAGAAACGCGTAACTTCGTCACGTTTTTGTTAACAAGTCTATGAGAAAATGTTGATGTTATGACTAATGTTAACTTGACCCCTGAATTCAATCTCCTCGAGTTGGCGAAAAAGACTACATAGTTCTCGCCCAGTGCTCGACCTGGCGGCGTATCAAACGCCCGCGATTGTCATTAATTATCCGCGCGTGAGTTGTAAGTTTCGTCGTGACGCTCACGCAAGATAACCGGATTTTAAAATTGATGTTTGCACAGTGAGCAACCCCTGTTTTATTCAAGGGCGTAGCCAGGAATTTGGATTGGAGGGGGGGGGGTCGGTCCTCGAGCGAGTAACAAGGGGTCTGACTTTTTTTTTTAGTTAAATGTAAAAAGTGCTTTAAAATCAATTTAGACGCTGTTTTGTTGACAATACTATTTCTTCTGCAGATAGAGAGAAAAAACATTTTGATTTTGATTTTGATTGGGGGTCCTAGGGCCCCCAGGCTACGCGCTTGGTTTTATTGGCCCTCAGATAATCGTACGCATCGGACACATGTCTGACTAACAATCCTTGCGCACGTTGTTAAGTGTTCACCGCTTAATCGGGACCACCGCTTAATAGGAGTATTTTTCACAGTTTACGACCTATCCGGATAAAGCGAGTACCACTGCATTACGACCAGTATCTCTTGCTACTGCTATTTACCATGTCCTCACTCTCCCCCACCTCTGCCTTCATCCTCACCAACCCGTTTCCTCCCTTCCCCCCTATCCCACCCTCTCACACCTATATTCCCAGATTCCCCCACCTCCTCCCACTCATCAATCACCTTTCCCTACTTACCAGCTAGGACCATGCCCATACGCAGGCATTTCTGGAAGCGGCAGTACTGGCAGCGGTTTCTCTGTGCCTTCGTGATCTCACAGTCGCCCTCTGCCACGCATGTGTAGACGCGTTTGTTCTGCACTGTCCTCTTGAAGAACCCCTTACACCTGCAAGCGCACAGACAATGATAATGAACAGAATACACGTAATGAACCAAAACTTGCTTTCACAAAAACTAATGCAGAACTAGCCGCAAGTAGATATACAGTGACACAACAGTGGAAGTGTAATTGAGGGGTAGTATTTGTGAATGTGCGTTCATATTGTTTTCAGTTTTTACTGACTCTGTCCCAAGTGCCTGTGACTTTGTCGGCTATTTTCAGGCTGTATCTTACTATCAGTATCCCACTAATAACTCATCCCATACCCCACCTTACCCCACCTGCCCGGCCCGCTTCGTGTGTAGTGAATCTATTTCGCTTCCTTTCCCCTCACTGCCTCTACTTCTTCTGTCTCTGTCTCTGTCTCTGTCTCTGTCTCTGTCTCTGTCTCTGTCTCTGTCTCTGTTCTCTCTCCCTGCTCTCCTTCTCTCCTTCTCTCCTCTCTCCCTCTCTCCTTCTCATGCTTCCTCCCTCTCTCCCTCTCTCGCCCTCTCTCCCCTCTTCTCTCCTCTCCTCTCTCTCATCCCTTCTCTCCTCTCTCTCTCTCTTCTCTCTCTCTAGTCCTCCCTCTCCCTCTCTCCCTCTCCCTCTCCTCTCCCTCTCCCTCTCCATGCTCCCTACTCCCTCTCCCTCTCCCATCCCTCCCGTCCTCCTCCTTCCACCTTCCTTCCTCCCTCCTCATCCCTCCCCTCTTTTCCGCTCTGTATCGTCTACATCTCTCCCTCTCTCTTGAATCGCTCTCTCCTTCTCTCTCTTTCCTCTCTCTTTCTTCTCTCGTCTCTCTCTCGCTCGTCTCTCTCTCTCTCTCTCCTCTCTCTCTATATCTCTATCTCTATCTCTCTATATCTCTATATCTCTATCTCTATATCTCTATATCTCTCTCTCTCTCTCTCTATCTCTCTCTCTCTCTCTCTTTCGATATGCCTTTTCTATCTCAGTCTCCACTCACATATATAGTACTCTTACTTAGGTTACCATTGCGCGTGCAGCCCACAGCGTGTGGAGTAAACCTATACACAACAGCAACAGCTGCAGTAGACGCAACAGTAGACGCAGCAGTAGCAGTAGCAGTAGTAATATCGAAGAACACCTACCCCTCACACGTGATGATGCCGTAATGAAGACCCGTCGCCTTGTCGTTACAGATTCCGCATATCATCGGGTCTTCCTCCTCATCCAGCTCGGCCTCATCTATGCACCACTCCCTCCGCGAAAGGTTCATAGCCTCGTCCCCCTGCACGTTCACGGATATAAATATAATGAAAAATATATTTAAAAAATAAAAAAATAAAAAATAAATAAATAAAAATAAAAATGAATATAAATGAATAAATATATGGGGGGGCGTAATGCTTCGACACGTTTACAGATGAAAAAACGCGCAGAAAATTACAGAGAAATCGTAAGCGGTCTAGCAGATTCAAGGCTTATTCATAATAATTTGTTTACCATACCGAGCAAAAATTAGCTTTACTAAGACATAAGGAATGTGAATTACGTTCCATCGCCATGTTTGAGACCTTGACATAAACCAGCTGCAACGATCATTTATTTACCCGCGCTGGTCGATGAGCGAGCGTTAATCTTACACCCTGATGATGACTGTATAAGGTAAGCCAGTACTTATAGGGAAAACAATGCGGCACGTGGACAGCCGTGCTCATCACCAGTTCATTTTAGGTCGATTTTCCTATGCGTTTGTCATTTTCGCATACGATGTCATAAGGATACAGTCAGGGTTATAGACAGGTACCTCTGTAAAGGGCAATACTGCATAACTGCATAACTGCTCACCATATTAAATGAAACACATATCTATTTAACAAAAGAGATATCTCTCTACGCTCGCAATAAAAATAATAATTTTAAAAATTCATTGCTAATTACGTGACGGCAAAAATTGTAAATTTATACAAAAAATGCTTTTTTACACATTTCTCAGAAACAGCAAAGGATTGAGACTTAAACTTTTAGCCATAAGTTGTTCATAGTACGAACTATTAAACGGTCCCTTGAATTTCTTTTCTGTTTTATTTTAGGAAATAAGAAGTTGAAAAGATGCACGAAAATCTGCAATTTTTTTACGATACAATAATATCGTAAATAAAGAGCCATAACTTCTAAAATGCATTTTTTTTATAACTTTACAATTTTGTCAGAGCACGTAATTACAAATGAATTGAACAACAGCGATGAATTTTTTATGATTATTTTTATCGTGAGCGTGAAGATCTTTTAATTTATATGTGTTTGATTGAATATGTTGTACAGTTGTAATGCCTTTTACAGAAAGAAACCTGTCCGTAACCCTGACTGTATCCTTATAAAATGCTTCCTCTTTTATATTTTAAAAAGAAAATAACCATACATCGCATTCACCGTTTGCTACAAACCCGCGGACATAAATTTACACAGAATTGTACACCGTTCAAATACACTTCCGTTAAAAATGGGTTATCACAGCAAGTGACTCAAATGTCAAAGATCAACGACGTAACCTAAACAGTTAAAACCGAAGCCTATACATGTAGGAGTATTATACATAATTTTATCGATTTCCCAAGCATCAAGTATATATATAGCCTGATGGAACACAAGACAGACACTGTAGGCTCACTTACCAAATGCAGAAACGAGTCGTTTTTTCTCTGCAGCTCTTCGATGAATCTATTATGCTCTTCGATTTGTTTCTGTTGAATTTTCACGGATTTTGGTTTCTGCTGCTGCTGTTGCTGCTGCTGTTGTTGTTGCTGCTGTTGTTGGTACTGATGGTGCTGCATCATCAGCTGCTGCTGTGCGACAGCAAGTGCCTGCGGACTCACGGACATCGCACGAGAGCTGTGGTACTCCGCGGATTTGGATTCTGGCGACAGGTTCTCGCTGGACGCTTCACGTTTGTTGTTCACATTGTTCACATACGGCCAGGCAGGTGGCGCTGAGAATCGCCGCTCCATGATCCACCGCTGGCTCTCCGGTATCATAGCGAGAAAGTCGCGGTAGGGGTGGTCTACAGGTATCAGTATCTTCTCTCCGCCTCCTCCCACAGCCTCAGCTGCCCCTTTCTCCCGTGCCCCTAGCTCGCACTCCATCTGCACGTCATCGTCGTCGTCTCGGAATTCTTCCGGGATCTCCTTCTTGATCATCTCTGCAGGAAGATATTCGACTACATCCGCCGCCATTTTCTCTGTATCGCGGTTCTCGGCGGGGGTGCCGCCGTGCGGCGACGCATCGCGCAGAGGGCGCTTCAGCTGAGATTCAAGGATCGGAGATCGGTACTTTGTGTCCAACACAGCCTTGCTGACAGTGATATCCGGCTGCGGTGTGGGGGCGCCACCGGCAACGTCGAAGCCCTGCACGGATATCGCGTCGGAGAGGCTGCGTGCCTTGTGACACTTGAGCTTCAGATTCATGAAGAGGCTGGGATCGTCGGTGACGGCGCATCCACGGTTGCCGGCCAGCAGTCCCGCGTGGTGGTGATGCTGCTGCAGCTCCATGTGGCCGGTCGTTCGTAATCCAGCGACAACGCTCTGCACCTGTAACACACACAGCACGCACACAGCGGGGTTAGCCAGCCATTACACCACTTGCACCCGCCTGTTCATTGAGTGCCGCCGCCGCCGACGCTCGATCCGTTCACAATGACAGGGTGGGTTACAACACCTGTAGCTGCTGCCCTCCAACACTGAGCTACCGCCGCGCAATGTGACCTACTAAACTTAGTGAACTAGACAGCTAAAGAGCTGAATCTCCTCGCTGACTGACAGGGGGGAGGGGCTAAGGGCCGATCTGAGGGGCGATTGCCCCCGAACGAGTCGCGCAACAATGATTGCCCGAGTAAAAACTGATGAACTTATTTCACTTGTTCACCCGCATCACTCGCGCGGTCTGTTTACTTTCACAATGGAACACGTTCACGGAAAGGTCACAGCGGCAAAGAAAGTCTCAATGTAAGGTTTACATCAAAATCTGGTACTCCGATTAATCCACGATATCCCTTCTTAAACAATCACGCTGCCGCTCCCGCCCACAGTTTACATACTACGCACGACCGACTAACCACGAAAAGGAAATTAAGAATTCTCGGTCACGTACGTCCGCGTCGATTTGACATAATTATACAACGCAAATAGATACTTCACTCTGCTAGACCTGTCAGTGCCCTGCTAGGATATTAATTAAATATGGATTCATTTGTGTTTATCAGTTTATAGAAGACATAATGGCAGTGGAACAGATATTCTACAATTTCGCATTCACAATTCTAATTTACTGGAAGTTATCAGGTATTATTATGTGGTATACCACACACTTCTCACTCTTGTCTATCTGTTGATAAACAGGATGCGCGTAAGACATGTGGGTATATATCTCTTATCGTATTTATATTTATATAGACATAGTAGGTGTCTATAAGCAGGCGGACTTAATCCTGCAGCCAGCGAGGCAAATCTGCCAGTACATTGCTGGTAATTTCCACAATCAACACAATCTCGTTGTCAGTAAGCGAATGATTTGCGTTAATTGCACATTGCTGGATTCAGAGCATTTGCACAAACGCGGTGCACACAGCTACTTTGTTTTGCAAGCGGTTCCCCTAAAGCTACTTCAGCTTGTCCATCACGGCTGCACGGGCCACATACATTAAAAAAATTTGTTTACAATAAGTACATGTATACAGTAAATTTTGCAACCATCGTGAGTGGGTGCGCGGGTGTTTCAATATATTGACGGACGCACGGACAGACGGACGGACAGACGGACGGGCGGGTGGCGAAATTTTTTTCCCCAAACGGTATAACATAGGAAGGATTTAGGCGCTTTCTGATTGGCTGGAATTTGGCAAGATGTCAGCCTCCATGACTTGTAACCAAAATCCCCAATTATCTACCAAAAACTCTCCCGAACTTTCTGTAAGTTAGGTCAAAGTAGTTTTTTTTTTTTTTTTTTTTAAATCAACATGGGTTTGAGTGAATTAACCCAAATTTGATGCCGTTTCTTGACTGATTTGATTTGACTAAAGAAAACCTTCAAAACAAGAGAACAAACG